TTTTTTTTTTTTTTTTTTTTTTTTTTTTTTTTTTTTTTTTGGTTGGATTGAAAGACCTTTGATAGTGAAGTGATATTTAAATTTCCTTTTTCAAAATTATTTTTTCTTCTAAATAATATACAGTCAATGTCATTAACGTTGTCCACCGAAAAAAGACATTTACACATTTAGACTAAAAGATATATCACATGTTTCATTGTGTATTCTTTGCCTCGTGTGCGTCTGCCTGAGTTAAATGTAAAATTCATGAATCGAAAATCCAGAATGCCCGAACATTTAGTGAGGATTTAAGATGGAGAATGGTTTGTCTTATGCCAGAACCTTCGAGGAAACACGTGATATTTCTTTTAGTCTAAATATGTAAATGTGTAAATGTCTTTTTTTGGTGGACAACGTTAATGACATTGAACTGTATCTAAAACTTTTTCTTTAGCTTGATGAACTTATATTCTCAATAATTGACCATTGTAGAATTATAATAAGCTATGTCTGAACCCAATTTCAATTAAGATCAATCAATAGTACTCTATCTGTCTTTCAAATTTATTTGTATGGATAAGTTGTCATAGCAACAGCCTCGGTTCTAGGCCACCAGAGATAGCATCGAACGAGACTAGGTTAAAATATCTGTTATGGTGATAGCACGAATTTAGTCAAACACTTTTCTGCTCAAGTTAAAAAATAACAATGCAATCACTAAAAAGCTAAGATTGTTGTTAGAAGAGATAACTAGCTAAAAACTAGTGTGAGTTGAGACAGTTGCCATAGCAACCACAGTTTGGGTATTTACAAGTTACATGCTATACTGGAACGTTAGAATAACATCGTCTCAATCACTCTCAGAAGTATACTAAACTCTATCATTTTTAGAGTTTCCTATTACTAAACAACCTCGTAGTGAGTAAAGTAATGATGCACCACGTTGTGTGTTAGGTGGATTTTACCAAAATGAGATGGCGTACACTGGTATCAAGTCACATGGCGTGGGATGTAAGGAATGCCCTCATGGAAAATACGTTGCACAACAGATAACCCCAGAACGAGCCGAGACAGACTGTCACTCATGCCCATTAGGTATTCACTGTTTGTTTTATTTCTAGGCCATAGAGCGTTTTCACTCACGTGACAAGGCAGCCATATTGGCGTACCAAACAATAGAAGCTTTCTGCACAGTTTTTGCGTAAAAATAGAGTTCAATTCCCCGAGGATAGGAAATTTATTGTGCCCAACATGGCCGCGTGAAAACGCTCTATTGATGGTTTTCACGGCCGCCATGTTGGATGTATTTAAAACAAAAGATTCGTCATTAGTCTCTTTTGTTATATCATCCAACATGGCCGCCGCGTCTTTTGTTATTTTATTCTCTTGGGAATGATTGAAAACCAGCAATACTTGATGAAGAGTTTGCATCATTGCAAAAGTTTCAATGGCATCCTTCGCGACGCATTATAGGCACACTCATTTTATGCCATAGTTAAATATCACCAATATAGATCCAGACATATTGTGTCGCGGCCAAAAGCCACAGAGGAGGACTAGGGCGGAGATCCACACACGCGTCCTATAGTTTTATGTTACAGAGCCGTGTAGCTATAGCAGAAGAACAAAATTGTAAGTTTTTTGCATTTCATCTCTTCATATCACGGAATATCGCCAATTAATATAATTTTTTTTCTATTTCTAGTTGTGAACCGTCGCTTATCATCTCATTTTACGCGGTTTATTCATGCTAGAACTGCTAAAGAATAATTTCAATCGCTGCATTAAGATCGGAGAGTTCAATCAGTTAAACGAAGTGTAATCAACGTGTATTTTGGGAAATAAGGGCGAGTGTCACAAGTATTCTGCAGCTACATATTGCGACAAAGAAGATTGACATTAGATTCCAAAGTTCTTGTTGGATCGTCGAGCAAGGTGTATTGCAAGCAAGATATGTAGTCTACGAAACATATAAAAAAGAAAAATAATATGTGAGTGAGAGAAGGCTAAGTGGCCCTAATATATCTGAGCATAATATTTTCATATTCATCCATTTGTAGGAGGCAGCATGGTCGAGTGGTCGGTCTCGCAATCCGGTGGTGCCGGGTTCAAGTCCCGCTGTGGCCACTAGCTGAGACTGTATTTGTCCTGGTTTTTGGTTAGTTCAAATTCAGTTTCTCAACCATGCTTATTAATAGCCAACTGGTTTGTCTCCTTTTGATTATTCCTTCATTTCAGTTTATTCCTTCCTTTACTCCTCCGGATTCATAACATGTTTATAATAAAAAAAAAATTTCCAAACAATCCCTTTTTTTCTCTATGTGAAATACCACATTTTATTTGATGATTAAATAATTACAACATATATTGCAATAAAGTAGTTTTAAGGACGTGCGTGGGCATTATTTACGCGCAGCCTTTCCGCGCATGAGTTTTGTGCGCGCGCGCTCATCGTAATGACGTCATCCGAATCTTTTGAATGGAAAGATATCAAGAAAACCCATTTTTCACTTTTTTGCGGCAAAATGTCTCAGAAACCAATTTGGTGGCCCCCATTTTTCTTTGTCTTAAAATTAAGACATGATCCAAATCCTACAACATGTTAAATCTATAAAAACATTCTGATTTCGAGGGAATTATTGACACCAAATTTACGAAAAAATCCACCTGTATTGGCCATCAATTTTTTCTGTTTCTTCTATTTTTTCGATTTCTTTCGAAGTGTTTGTTTGATACGTTAGGTTACGATATAACGTGCGTCTTTTCTTAGATGAATACTATATTTGCTCAGCGTTTGGTATAAATAAAAAACGAATTCGGCGACCCACATTTTTTATTTAATTTTTCAAACAAGAATATGTTGGGGGTATGTGTTATGAGAGAGAAAATTAATGTTTTTACAGACTAAGCTAGACATCAGTTTTCTAATTACTATTTCTTATCGAAAACAACAACATCTCTGCAGTTGAAGTGGTGAAACTTTACCCAAGAATTTCGTATCGAAAATAATATTTATTCTAGCTTTTGCGTCGACTTATCGAAAAGAATTCTCATGAATTAGTAATCGAATTAACGTTAATTAATTCATTAGTTAATTAACATTTCAAAGGGTGATGGGTTTGCGACGTGATGTTGAGTTAAGACCGCGTGTTTACGTTAGGCTTATCAAATCAATTAATCTAGCTAGTCATTGCACGCAGCATAGTTTGAATAGCACGCACCCTATACCTCAGATTAGTAGTTATCGAGTTTGTATGTTATGTTATGTTATGATTGTGCTACGCTTAATATATTGTATTTTTAGCTTCGCTATGTCAAGTGTTATACTTTAGTTATTCTTGATTACAGTTCGAACCGAATTTATGACGAATTTACAACGAATTTACGACCGATGAGTACGTAGATTGGGAAACAACATCAACATAATTTAATACATCGCACTGTTTATTGATTGCTCTATAAACTATCAATTGTCTAATCGAGTTCGGGTTGTCTCATTTAAAGCACCAGGGAAATAAGTGTAATCGTGTTGATTTCATATACGCGAGTTACAAAGGATGGGTATTAAAGACCCATTGCCACTTACCGTGATGCATCATAATTTGTTTACATTTTGAATCGTGTCACCACTGAAAAAACAATTCCAACATTTTGAATAAACTCTTAAAAGAATGTAAAAGAATCATTTTTGTGCCTGAGTGCTATTGTCGGAAAAGGATTTAATATGAAGTTATTATTCAATATATGAATCTTTGAATTTCATGGACCACGAAATTCATCTGTGATCGCGGTGCGTCACGGTAAGTGGCAATGGGTCTTTAAACCCTTGACAACATATTCCTAAAACAGCTCAAATGGAACTAAGCCGAATGGCTTTTATCTAAATTCGAATAGTTATAGTAAGCACGTATAGTAAGAGTATTTTCATGACAAACACTCGCAGATTACATTAAAAATAATCTGGTTGATGATGAAGTTTGTTGCGCGCAATCACGCAATGTTGCAAGAGCAGAGCGCGATTCCACTTCAGATTTGTTGCATGCAACGTCGCGCTCAACACGTTTGAAGTAGACACACGCTGCAACAGTCCTGTCGCGTGAAATGTTGCATGCAATGTTAATGTTGCACCGTGAGTCAGCACCTTTATGCTACCATGATACTACTAAATTTGATATAACTAGCTAAAAACTAGTGTGAGCTGCGTCGGTGTTTCTAATGAAACAGTAATGATGAAAAGGTAAATTGTACACCGTGAAAAGATGAAAAAACTGACGTTTCGGACGCTAGTCCTTCGTCGGAGTAAAAGAGAAAGAAGTGGTAGAAAGTAACAGTAAATTAAAATCACTGACCATTTCGTTTGTACCACTTCTAATGTTGTATATTGTATTAAATGT